ATATGTCTCCAAAGAATAGACACCACACACAAACTACAATGCCAGATCTAATCAAGTTTCTAAAACATAACCATCAAATACAGTCCCCAAATCGAAGCCAATAGATTTCACATTAAAGCAAAAACAACAAAAAATATCAAACACAACATACCCCAAAAATACGCCTATTCATAAAGACATACATCTACAAAGTAATGCATGTGATTCTGTGCCCATGAAATTTTTGATTGCTTTCAATCAATCACAATCCTTAGCATCCTTCCTCAAAATTAAAATTAAATGTTTGATAGATATTAATGTAAAACATAAATGTTTAACACAAATAAATAGCATGTTTTGAAACACATAAAAATATGATAAACAATAAGACCACAAAGATGGCATACACCATTCGACAGAGACACTTGAATTAACAGTTATGTATGTGAATAATATATAAACCATAATTTTCAACCTATAAATATACATAATCTTAAAACCCATAATTTTCTTTGTTATCCTGCAAATAGTCACAATTCATTTCTGACAATGAACACAACCTCCATTGACGAACAATATTATATCAAAGTGATCTATAGATAACACATATATAGAAGCATAAAAAAGCACATAATGATCCCAAACATGAAAGGGTTTTGGACATCTCAACACATATATCCAAATGCCTTTTACAAACACCCATATATACCCCTATGGACCACGATTCTGCCAACCATTTCTTACGAATTCACCCATGATTCAAATCTAAAAGATCTACCATTTTCATAAATAAACATATAACTGGTTGACATATGTTAATGACATAATTAAATTATATGTGCATGACATAATCAAATTATATGTGAATGACACAAATGACTTTGATGATTCATCCATACTTCTGTATTGTAAATTTATATGTTAATCTGCCAAAATCTCAAATTCTGAGTCTCATTCCTCAATATTGACACCAAATTCCATTTCCCCCAAATCAAAAATCAACAGATCTACCATTCATCCACACAGATACAAAATCATAAACAGAAAGCACAAATGGATGCAGCATAAATGAATCATTACCCTGCAAGCAATCGCAATTCTCAGCTTCTTTCCGAACGACATCAAGAACAGCATCAATCAACTCCGCACCCTCGGTGTAATGACCTTTGGCCCAGTTATTCCCAGCACCAGACTGTCCAAAAACGAAGTTATCGGGCCTGAAAATCTGCCCGAAAGGACCAGATCGGAGTGAGTCCATGGTTCCAGGCTCCAAGTCCATGAGCACTGCGCGTGGAACAAAACGACCACCGCTGGCTTCATTGTAATAGACGTTTATTCGCTCCAGCTGTAGTTCGGAGTCGCCACTGTACTTTCCGGTGTGGTCGATACCATGCTCGTCGCAGATCACCTCCCAGAACTTGGCCCCAATCTGGTTGCCGCATTGGCCACCCTGAATGTGGAGGATTTCTCTCATTTTTCTCAGGAAAGTGTGGGAAAATTAATGGGATTCCTTGTGGGGTTGTTGGGGTGGATAGAACACTGATAATTGAGATAGAGAGAAAGAGAGAGGGTAAGGCGATGACACAATGGAGGAGCGTAAATGGAGGGGTATTGGAGGGAAGGGGTCGACTGGGCCAATACAGTTAGGGTAGTTTCGGCTTTGACCCTTGAGTTTGGGATATTTGCTAATTGTCCTCCTATTATTTATGGGAAATTATTTGCATACAATATAATGTTTCTTGAATTTTTTTTTTCTTGCAGCCAATGGTCGATCATGAAGAACCCTTTTGGTAACGTTTGGTTTTAAGTTTTCTTATTTTCATTTTCATTTTCTGAGAAAATTGTAAATGATATCATGTTTGTGAATGTCTCAAATTATTATCAAAACTGTGTCAATTTCTAAAAAAATAGAAATGAATGAAAGGAACCCCTAATCTTTAATAAGATATTGGTATCGAATACAATTCAAGTATCAATACTTAGTCTGCAATTCAAAATTGAATTAATCTGGTATCAATGAAGATTCAAACTCTAGAGGGGGGTCCAAGGTGTAATTTACCCTAATGCTGTTGAGACGTATACTTTTATGGTAGAAAGTAATTGGAAATATCTTCATAGATTGTGTTGTTCAAGGAAAGAAGAGAAAAAATATTTTTCTTATATCGAATAAAGGAGCGGTCTTAAGCAAACCAAACAAATTAATAATTAAAAATTTTGAATGGGTTAATTTCTATGCAATAGTTTGAGATAGTGACACTTGATTGAACAAGGGATGAAATTCTCATGAACAAGAAAGGAAATTAGAAAGGGACAAAAGGAATGTTTGGCATATTCCTTCCGATGCATAAGTTAGTCGTCGTTTTAAGGCAAAGAAGATTGAACACTGTAGGTCTAGTTTAGAATGTGTATCGAGGACCAATTATTTGACTATTTATACATTGAGGGATGATAACTAAGTAATTTGTGGATCACACTAAGCCAATTTGATAGCCTATGGCTGAAATCCTCCTCTGAGGTTGTCTTGTCAATTGATTTGTCAATCCTTGAGCTGCATATTTAGTATGCTTAGGGATGTCTCATAAGTGCTCGAGACCCAAAGCATTTAATAGGGTCTGTTAGGCATTTTATTGAAAAATGTCAATCATCGAGTGGAATGCCCTGAGCATTTATGGCTAAGTGCTGAGCATCCATTATCATGCCCCCCAGGGTGTCATCCTGTGGCTCCACATCAACAAGGGTCGTGCTTTCTTCCGTCATTCGTGGGATCCGTTGTTGGACCCAATTTTAATGTGACAGAATGGTTGCTTGTCCTCTACCACGTGTCACACCAATTAATGTGGACAACGAGTCTTCCAAGTTGAATTAAATGTTAGGTTGCCCCTCCCAGTCCCGGGGGACATTGTGCCCAGTGCCTAAGTAGTTCACAGGCTAAGGGTCCTCCTCGATCTTACAAAGATCTATCCTATTGTGCTTGGCTTGGGGAAGGTTGGGGATTACTGGATCAATAAGGGGGATCCATGTATCACCATATGACTGGCGCGCCACCCATATCCCGTCAACTGCCCCTAGCCTTCGGTTTTTCTCACATCATGGGCCATGTGGTGTGGGGGGGGGTGAAGGCTTTCTACATACGTCGAATCTTAGGAGTCGTCAATTTTTGAATTTTCATTTAATGCTCCGTTGTTTTCAACAACCATGGCCATGGTTAAGGAGTATAAATAACAATGGGCTTTCAATCTGTGGGACCTTTGAAATCTTTGAACCTCTAAAGCACCCATAGTAGTTCTTTTGGAAGATACTATGAATGCTAGTTTTTAGTCAGTTAGTTTGATCATTCGATTTCTTTACTAACCCTTCCTCTCCTCTTACTCCTTTATGTATATATTCATGGCTAGAAACAATGTAGTCGATAGGGCAAGGGTGGCTGATAGGCCGAAAAATGCTTCAAAAGGTAAACTTAGGAAAACCCAGGTGAATTAGGATGTGAAGTCNCGATAGGGCAAGGGTGGCTGATAGGCCGAAAAATGCCTCAAAAGGTAAACTTAGGAAAACCCAGGTGCATTAGGATGTGAAGCCCACTTTTAGAGTTAAATATCATATCTCGGATGACGTGTTCACCTTAGTTTTTTTATTCAGACTACCATAGTGACACCGAGGGAGCTGCCAACCTCAAGTCTTTCCATACTAAACATATTATGGAGGGGGTGTTAGATTTCCTCTTACCCTACTTTGGTTCAATATGCATTTTAGGTTGTTCCCCAAATAGTGCTGTGTAAACTTATTTAGAATAGTCATTGGTGTTGTGGCCTTGGATTCCCTGTTCGGCAGGCATCTAGGAGTAAATGATATTCTTTTATGTTCTGATATGATGATTACTTATAATAAAAAATACTACCTTAAAGTTTGGGACCCTTCTATGTACTTGGTGATCCACTTGCCTAAATCTGATATGAGATACACTAAAGACCTCATCATACTAGATAGCCGATGGGAAAGAAGCGATGCACCCAAGTACAGTGGCTTGTTCTGTCCTAATAGGATCAGGGAGTCAAGTACATGGGTGTCCTTCACCAAGTATGCTCTATTCAGCTTGTAATTGATGCACTAACCAAATTTTGCATTCTGTGCAGAAGAAATAACCAAGAGGGAGGCCACTCAACCTCTATGGTCTTCGGTTGTTTTTGACGAATTGCTCATTGTCTGGCAACATCAGGGAATATATGGTTTTGGGAGAGCGCGCACATACTATTGGGCTACACCTTAGGGTACAAGAAGTTCTCCCAAGTGCCCATCCGGAATCTGGTTTGACGAGTCTTTGAGGAAAATGNTTCGGTTGTTTTTGACGAATTGCTCATTGTCTGGCAACATCAGGGAATATATGGTTCTGGGAGAGCGCGCACATACTATTGGGCTACATCTTAGGGTACAAGAAGTTCTCCCAAGTGCCCATCCGGAATCTGGTTTGACGAGTCTTTGAGGAAAAGGAAGTCAAATCCTTAAAGAAAGAGGTGAATCTAGAGGATGAACCTTACTAAGACTCTGATGTCATCCCTATTTCTTCAATTGAATCTGAGATGTTGAGGATGCCATGGATCACAATTGACAACTTGGAGCCTTAGCTGCCTCTCGTAGATCTATACCCTTTAGACTAGGCTAGTTCGTTTCGAGGGGCCATTACTCCATCTTCCCAGCAATAGCTCCCTCCCTGGCAATAAGCACTGCCGTGGTGACTAGCCCAGACCGAGCAATCTCCTCAAGGTTAATGCCGAGGCAAAGGAGTGAACCCTGCTCAGGGGCATAAACCTTGTGCCATGATGTCAACGCTCCATCAATCCAAAGGTAGTGCATTTATACGCCGCCTAAACTTGAGCCAATGACCCCTAAATCGGCAGGAAAAGCCGTGGAATATAACCCCCGTGTAATGACTTAGAGGGATAAGGTGGTGTTGATCACCAACTCAATCACCTAGTCCCCTTGATGTCACCCTCATAGTCAATGGGGACCTCTATTTTGAAGCCGACATGGCCACCCACCAAGATCCAAGGGGTGATCTAGAATGTCGTGTTGGTAAGTTATTGATCTTTTTAATCCATTGTCCCCTTCTCTCGCCCCTTTATGACCAAAATTCGTTTGTTAGCAAATTTTCTAGCAAATGGGTGTCATTGTCGATTGATTTTGGGGATATTGATTGGTGGCCAAGAGGGCTCAAGCCAAGGACAAGTAACAAAAGAATCACATCCTAAGTTGCAAAAAGGTTTTCACTGGCCTAGTCTCCTAAATTGTCAACCTTATGATGAAGATGGACAATCTTTCGCTAAGTTGGAGAAGAGCAAGGATATTGAGGCTGAGATAGAGAGAAGGATGACTAAGCTTGAGCTGAAAATTTCTACTATCGAGGCCTAGAAGAACTATGCCTCCTTGTTAGGCCAGGTGGAGGGTTTAACTACTTCGTTGGCCAACATTGAGCAAAAGTAGAATGTTATTTCATGCTCAAGTATTTAACAAGTGTCAGTAGCAGGTGGTCAAATCATTTTGTGGACGGCCATAATAAGTCCTTCAATAAGGGTTAGGAGGAAGTTCTTCATGCCGTTAGGGTGGAACTTGACTATGACCTCTTCCTCCAACACATCTCTGTTCTAGAGTTGATGTTGGATGAGGAGGAAGATGAAGCTGATGGTAATGTTCTACAGGACTATTCACATGTGAACGAACCCATCNCATGCCGTTAGGGTGAAACTTGACTATGACCTCTTCCTCCAACACATCTCTGTTCTAGAGTTGATGTTGGATGAGGAGGAAGATGAAGCTGATGGTAATGTTCTGCAGGACTATTCACATGTGAACGAACCCATCCCTAAAAGTGATGGGGGTGGCTCAAAGAAAGGCAGACCTTCCCCATTCAGTTTCCTTTTTCCATGCTATACGAGGGTACTCAAGACCTATACTTCCTTGCTACCCCCACTATCCCAGCCAAGCCATGCCATGATCGAAGAATTTGGAGACTTAGATGACTTGTTCGGTGATCCTAAAGGCGGTGATTAGGGTTACAGTGGTCAGGGAGATGTTTAGGGTGACTTGGAGGTGCTGGATCGAGAGGCTATTCAGGATCATGTTTGCTTGGAAGATGGTGGCCAAAATTGAAACTTTTGTGACCCTGACGAGGATTTATTCTCCTTTTCTTTTGTACAAGTTATAGAGCCTTTGGGCCAATTTATTGTTCTATCTTATTTTCTCTTTCTCTCTCTTTTTTTTTTGTTTTTGTTTTTTGCAAGCCTTGAGGAATGCAAAACCCTCGGCCTTTTCAATAAAATGTTCTTTCTCCTCTTTTTTTTCATTTGTTTCAAACCATAACATCTTTCCTTGGGAGTGTCTATTCGGCTTGAGTGATGTGTCCATTCCCGAGGAAGGCGTATCCCTTGGTCTATTTGGGTAAAGTGCTCCACCTTCGTAGAGACTTACCCCTCCCGGCTTGGGGACGTCTCATAAGTCCTTAGGACCTGAAGCATTTATTGGGGTTTGCCAAGCATTTATTGAATGATGTTGATCGTCGAGTGGAATGTGTTGAGCATTTATGGCCAAGTGCTAAACATTCATTGTGATGTCCCCCGGGGTGTCACATGTTAGTTCCATGTCAGCAAGGGTCGTGTCTTCTGCCATCATTCATGGGATTCATTGATGGCCTCAATGTTGATGTAAGATAATGATTGTTTGTCATCTGNGGTGTCACATGTTAGTTCCATGTCAGCAAGGGTCGTGTCTTCTGCCATCATTCATGAGATTCATTGATGGCCCCAATGTTGATGTAAGATAATGATTGTTTGTCATCTGCCATGTGTCACACAAAAAAATATGGATAGTGAGTCTCCCAAGGCGAATTAAATGCTCGGTTACCCCTCCCAGTCCTGAGGGACAATGTTCCTGAATGCCTGAGTAGTCTATAGGCTAAGGGTCCTCCTTGGTATTGTGAAGATTTGCCCTACTGTGCTCGGCGTGGGGTAGCTCAAGGATCATTGGCTCAACAAAAGGGATCCACGTGTCATCCTACGACTAGTGTGTCGCCCATGTCCCATAAAATTTGANGCCTGAGTAGTCTATAGGCTAAGGGTCCTCCTTGGTATTGTGAAGATTTGCCCTACGGTGCTCGGCATGGGGTAGCTCAAGGATCATTGGCTCAACGAAAGGGATCCACGTGTCATCCTACGACTAGTGTGTCGCCCATGTCCCATAAAATTTCAAGTTTGGGCATAATTAAAACACAAGCTCATGTTTCCAAATTTTGGACTTCCAACTAGGGTGCCCTTATAGATTCCAAATCAAATTGGAATGATAAACTATATATTGATTCCTAGAGTTGTGTTTCTTGTCTCATATTATTCACTTGATTAAAATAGTTTGGCATTAGGCTTGTTTGGAGTTGATATTTTTAGGTGGAAAGCTACGGTTTGAAAAGCTTCGAAAAAAGTCCTCAAAAATCGTTTGAAGTGTTCTTTAAAAAGTTGGAAAAATTGAGAACGNCAAATTGGAATGATAAACTATATATTGATTCCTAGAGTTGTGTTTCTTGTCTCATATTATTCACTTGATTATAATATTTGGGCATTAGGCTTGTTTGGAGTTGATATTTTTAGGTGGAAAGCTACGGTTTGAAAAGCTTCGAAAAAAGTCCTCAAAAATCATTTGAAGTGTTCTTTAAAAGGTTGGAAAATTTGAGAACGTTTGTTTGAAGTGACTTTCTAGTTGCTTCTTCTTTTTTTTTTTTTTATATGTATATAGATTTTTTGTGTAAAAATAAAAAATAATTACATTTTATGCATAGATACATAATAGTTCCCAAAATATGAANAATTTTTAATTTCTTTTTTTTTTTTTTTTTTTTTTTTTATATGTATATAGATTTTTTGTGTAAAAATAAAAAATAATTACATTTTATGCATAGATACATAATAGTTCCCAAAATATGAATTTTAAATTTTTTTATATTACTAATAATATTTTATGAATATAATAAACTAAAAAGTCATGTGAGACTTACAATAAAACTTCAAAAAGCATAAAGAAAAGCCAATAAAATCAACTTATTGAATTAGTCTAAATAAGTTTTTTTCAANATAATTACATTTTATGCATAGATACATAATAGTTCCCAAAATATGAATTTTAAATTTTTTTATATTACTAATAATATTTTATGAATATAATAAACTAAAAAGTCATGTGAGACTTACAATAAAACTTCAAAAAGCAGAAAGAAAAGCCAATAAAATCAACTTATTGAATTAGTCTAAATAAGTTTTTTTCGATCTGAAAAATTGTTGCATAAGTTGGTCTAAAAGGCTAGGTCCAAATATACTTGACTTATTTTACTCTTAAACGTATAAAATCAACCTATTTCAGGCAACTCCAATAGTGTTGGTTTCACATTATCACCAAAATAACAAGTTTTTCAAGAAGCATGTTTAACTATAATTGCTAATTTCACGTTGTTTGATTGTAGATTTAGACCTTGTAATTTTATATAATTTNCAACTCCAATAGTGTTGGTTTCACATTATCACCAAAATAACAAGTTTTTCAAGAAGAATGTTTAACTATAATTGCTAATTTCACGTTGTTTGATTGTAGATTTAGACCTTGTAATTTTATATAATATAGACTTTTGTCCATCTAAAAACAGATGGAGGTTTTGTTTTGGTATTATATGAATCAAATTCAAGTAAATGAAAAGGCAATGTGATAAACTCAATAGTTGAGTAAACAAATTGAAAGAAAGATCATAGGTGAAGGGACAAAGATAGCCAAAAATCATAGTTAAGAGGGTTCAATTGTAATTACCCAAAATTGACAATATTACAACGTCGACAAGGGAGGGATAATTAGTGCCCAGATCTTGTAAAAGGGTTTTCAATTTTAAGTACTGTGTACTTGCGATGGGCTTTTTTACTATTTATCGTGATTTCTAAACTTCTTTTGGCCCAAAATCGTGATAAATTTAACACTAAAACTTTTTAGTGTAAAAAATTTCTTGGGTTAATTGTACTGGATATCCATAAAATATTAGGTTTGTCTCATTTTAATCATTACTATTTCAATTGTATCATTTTAATCCCTAAAATATTGAATATATATTTCTATATGGTCCCTAGAGCAGACAACGTCTAGATTGTTAATAATTTTTTATTATAAATTTGTTACGTAATGTTTAAATATTGGTAAAAAAATAGTTTAAATAACTCTTGACTAAATTTCTATCTAATTTTTGGTCAAAGAACTACCCAAATTACATAATTTTGATAATGAACTATTCAAATTTTGGTCAAGTGATACCCACATTATACATTTTTTGTCAAAAGTTATTCAAATTTTAGTCCAAAAACTACCCAAACTATTTTTTGCCTGTATTTTGGCATCATGTGACAAGTTTAAAATAAAAAAATAGTTAACAATTTATATTTTGTCTGCTTGAAGAACCACATATAAACATATTCAATATTTCTAAGACCAAAATAATACAATTGACGTATTGTAGACTAAACAAAGATAAATTTTATCCTTTGGAGACGTTTAATGTAATTAACCCAAGTTTTTTTTTTTTTTGAGGTTAATAGCACTTTCAGGCCCTAAAATATGTATTTTTTTTATTAGTTTGATCTTAATTTCATCAATTTAGTCTATAAAAGATTCAATTCTTGTCACTTTGGACCTACTCAGATAATTCGTTAAATTTTTTGATGAAAGTGGTCACATGTCACTCTTTCAGACGGTAGCATGTGTCTAACATGTGATCATTCCGTAAAAAATTTAACGATCTATCTACACATGGACTATTTTGACACGAATTAAATATTTTAGAGACTAAATTGATAAAATTAATANTATTGATCTTTTTAATCCATTGTCCCCTTCTCTCGCCCCTTTATGACCAAAATTCATTTGTTTGCAAATTTTCTAGCAAATGGGTGTCATTGTCGATTGATTTTGGGGATATTGATTGGTGGCCAAGAAGGCTCAAGCCAAGGACAAGTAACAAAAGAATCACATCCTAAGTTGCAAAAAGGTTTTCACTGGCCTAGTCTCCTAAATTGTCAACCTTATGATGAAGATGGACAATCTTTCGCTAAGTTGGAGAAGAGCAAGGCTATTGAGGCTGAGATAGAGAGAAGGATGACTAAGCTTGAGCTGAAAATTTCTACTATCGAGGCCTAGAAGAACTATGCCTCCTTGTTAGGCCAGGTGGAGGGTTTAACTACTTCGTTGGCCAACATTGAGCAAAAGTAGAATGTTATTTCATGCTCAAGTATTTAACAAGTGTCAGTAGCAGGTGGTCAAATCATTTTGTGGACGACCATAATAAGTCCTTCAATAAGGGCTAGGAGGAAGCTCTCCATGCCGTTAGGGTGAAACTTGACTATGACCTCTTCCTCCAACACATCTCTGTTCTAGAGTTGATGTTGGATGAGGAGGAAGATGAAGCTGATGGTAATGTTCTGCAGGACTATTCACATGTGAACGAACCCATCCCTAAAAGTGATGGGGGTGGCTCAAAGAAANTTTTTTTTTTTTTGAGGTTAATAGCACTTTCAGGCCCTAAAATATGTATTTTTTTTATTAGTTTGATCTTAATTTCATCAATTTAGTCTATAAAAGATTCAATTCTTGTCACTTTGGACCTACTCAGATAATTCGTTAAATTTTTTGATGAAAGTGGTCACATGTCACTCTTTCAGACGGTAGCATGTGTCTAACATGTGATCATTCCGTAAAAAATTTAACGATCTATCTACACATGGACTATTTTGACACGAATTAAATATTTTAGAGACTAAATTGATAAAATTAATACTTTAAAAATCAAATTGACAAAAAATGTATAATTTAAACACCAAAAGTGCTATTAACCTTTTTTTTTAATGGTAAAAATTGAAAAACCACGAACAACAAAACACACTTTGAGATTGAAACAAAACACAAGTTAAATTTACCCATTGAAATATAATTTTTATATTTATATAAAAAATTGAGATAAACAGTGCTAAAGGTTTTTG